GTTAATCCCTCGCTCATTGCCCCATCTGTATACTCTCCTCCCTCTTACCTTTTGTGTAACTTTTAACTTTAACTTTCTCTCTTAATTTTCTTTCTCAAATAAAGGTCCGCTCGTCGTTATCGCGGATCTTTCTTCATAATGTACGAAGAAAATCTTAGCAACCTTTACCCCCTTTTCGAATCTCACTTCCACGTCGTTTTCACGTTTCCAAGCCACTTTACGATCTCGATTAAATTTTATCCGAGATACCGAGAGCTTGACTTTGACTCGTTCCTCTGCCTCGATACACCAGCAGCGTAAACTATCGTTTTTACGGCCAATAAACAGAGGGGAAAAGAAGTTGGCGATAAGTCGGCCCTTCCCATAGATTCGCGGACCTTTAACGGCGATAGAATAAGAACGACCCAATTATTTCGATTGGAGAGAAAGAACCCCCTGCGTCTTCTCTCGCGATACGTCCTTCTCCGAGTAAACCGATTTCTCTCTCTCTCTCTCTTTCTTTCTCTCCCCTAAGAAACGTTGTTACGCGGTAATCCCTGAAAATCGTCTTTTATTGAAATAAAAGTAGAATTGCTTTCTTAGATTGGTTCTTATCTTCGTGTCAGGATAGATTGAACATTCTGCGAAAGGGCGAATTTTAAGTTTAGAAGAAAATATCTCGGTTCCTACTTTTTTTATCGTATCGTATATTTTACGAGATGCTTTATATTTCCTTAAATCCAAATCTTCCAAACTTTACAATACAATCCTAATTAATAAATTCCATTCGTTCTATTCGCGATAAATTAATTCATTACACCATACTCTCTTCAACAAAAGTTTCAACGTTTAGAATATTTGTAGAAAATTAAATATAGCAAATATCTACACGATATCTTGGATTCCATCCCTCTTTTAAATACAAATTTGCATAAACATCCTTACCCGATTCATTAGCATCCTCGGAGCAAAGATCCTGCCGCCGCTGGATCCTCCCCGATCCTCGTCTCTCCCCAAAATCTCGTCGACTCTTCTCCCCACGTCGGCCGCAACTGCGCTTGCAAATCGTCGTCCACTCGCTCGCGGTCACCCATTCGAGCCATTCGAGCCATTCGAGCCCCGATAGCGGAGACAATCCAATTATTTCGAGGCTGGCTGCAGACGACGGATCGGCGATTTTTCCAGCGACCGATGCACAGCAACCGGTCGTCCTCTATCTCTCGATACGATGGAACGCGTATCGGCGTTACTCAGCCGCTAATCTGCCGCTCATTAAGCTTCTTTGATTTAGATACGTTCCACGGTGGACTCCTCCCCCCCCTCTCCTCTTCTGCCTGGCAAACGATACGCAGCCAATCGTGGGGCCAATCCGTGGACGGAAAGGAGAATTACGGCGGGCGTATCGCGAGGCGTATTGATTACGAGCGCGTAGATTTAATTGGTTTTTTATCGAAATTAATCCGTCTCGCGATACCGTGTCCCATCGTTTAGATACATCCTCGTTGCCTGATCGCGATTCTTTAATTGTGCCTCGCCGTAAAATACGCCCGGGGATATCCTCGCGAATCCTGGACCCGATTACGAATTTAACTCCGCCGAAGAAGAATTTATATCGATGGAAGTTTGGCGTGGGTGGGGATTGAGACGTTCAACTCGTCGAAGAGTGGAAATTGATCCCGCTGCGATTTTGTCCCGCTTGTGTAGTGAATTGAAAATAGCTCGATCAGTTTTTAGATCGTTTCGTTGGAGAGATAGAAATTTTTTTTTTCTTCTTTGCAACGATTTTGAAATGATCTTTAAAATGATGGTGTTGGTTTTTTTTTTTTTTTTTATTAGAGTAACTTTAAGATGATATTGAGATAAACGTAGCAAATATTTCTTCATCGTTTGAATATTGGAGTTTCGTCGAGGAAAGTTATTCTTTCGAAGATTTATCATATCCTTTACGAGTCATGATTGGAAAAAATAGAATTATTGTTGAATAATGGAAAAGAATTAATTTGAGATATTTCTCAATGCAAAGTACTTTCGACCTATAAATTAACCATTATCGATAGCTATGATCCTGCTACGAGGATCTCTCTATCGTAATCTCGTGACCCAGTAAACTCCCAGTTCTCTCGTGATTTTAAATCGTAAGCAAACAAATCTTGATAGATAGATCTCCATAGTGTATTTTTCCTCTATATTTATATATATATATTCGCACTTTGGTGTCTCGTGACTCTTTTTATGTTTATCTTCTATCGGTATCCAATGCTTTTCCCCCAGAAATGAATAAATAAATAAGTTATTCCTGGGAATTTATAAATTCCAATTTTAAAAAGTCACCCTCTCATAAATGATACGCGATATTATTCAAAAGTTTTAGATCATTCATTAAATTGAGATATCGTATTTTATTTTCGAATTACTACAGAAAATTTCAACTCGGATAACAACCATCTCAAATATCATTGATTAAACAACTTTTTATCTTTTTTAACAAAGAAACAATTTCAACGTAGATTTAATGAATTCGTTTCGCATCTTCTAAATTATTCTATTTCTAAATTAATTTCCTTCCTTCTATGAAAAATATTTTTATCCACACCCACAGTCACAAAATCTCTGAACACATACCCTAAAAAGATCTCTCTCTCTCTCTCTCTCTCTTTTTTTTCTTTCCATTTCATTCCATACCCATGTCCTCGTTGTCCCCAAATGCATTCGTCAAGTGTACACGGTGCGACGCACGTCACGTTCCGCGCCAGGTAACGAGAGAAACGGGAAGAAAAACGGGCGTACATGCGAGAGGAGAAGAGAAGAGAAGAGGAAGAGCAGGTAGTCGAAGGAGGGTGAATCGCGGTGGCATTTGACGGGGACGATTTCCCGGGGACGGTTTCGCCCGTTGGCTTCACAGGCGAGGACAGTCGCGGCAGGATCGGCGTAATTACATAAATTAGTCGACGCTGAAGGAGCGCGTTCTCTTGCGCGAGGGGATGGGCCGAGGCGAAGAGTTCTCGAGAGGACGGTGTACGCACCGAAAAAAGACGAGTGCGCGTGTGGGAGAAAGAAAGAAAAGAAGAAGAAGACGGGTCGAACGGCGGTTTGGGGAAGGAGAGATAAAGACGGATGGTTGGAAGGGGACCAGGGAGATTAATTGACGTGGAAGCGATAAAGGTAAATGGAATCGACGAGCGGATATGTGGAAATAAGAATGGATATGTGAGAGAGAAAGTGTAGAAGATAATTGGGAAGGGATAGAGGAAGGAAGAAAGTAGACGAGGTAAACGCTTCGTGTCTAATTTACCTACGAATAGCCCGATCGGTGGGCCCGCGGGCGGGCTTCGTGATTTATATCGGCCAGTACTTACCCAGCCACGGCCCTAATGTTAATGCTTACAAGTTGTTAAACGTCCTTTAACTCCTTGGACGAGTTGTAGCATGCTAACCACGGTGTATCATTTGAATGGATGAATGGTTATTAGAGATTGTTACGGCGCGTAAGGAATGATTGTTCGATCGAGAAGAATTGGAGAATTGGCGTTTAGCGATGGGGACAAGTTACGAAGTGCGTTTAATGTTGGCGCGATTACAGAGTTGATTTTTTTTTCAAGGTGAAAGTCACGAGATTTATGGCTCGTATCTCGAGATTGGCTCTGGAAGAAATAAAGTTTGGTTAATTGGCGAGTCATATCTAGCATAGAGGGGAAATTCTAAATCGAGGTTAATCGGTGATCGTTGAAGCAAAAGCGAAGAATACACAGTTTTATTCGATTGCTATTTTTCCCGAAACTCTACTTTACTGATCTGGTTGGAAAACTTGGGTGAAAAAAGTCACGGTATGAATGGTCGTGCAATTCAACTGGTCGAGTATTAATTGATTAAGCAGCGACGATGTTCGAATTTAAGGCGATCGTATGAAAGAACTCGTTCAGCTGACAAATAATTAACCAATCGTGGCGAACGAGTCCATGGATCGCTCGGTTCACCAGTTAAGACTTAATAGCGTTCATAAATATTCGTCAACTATGACAACTGGGACGAGTTCGACTAGAAATTACAGAAATTCGCGTTGCTTTTAAAGCGAAATTTATCGACCGTGCGTAAATCGTTTCCACTCGGATCATCGGCCTGATGAGACCGATCTCGACTCCGTCGAATGGTTGATATTACGCTTGAATGTGTAATACTCGAAACCCTGACCCGAGAAAAATAGGGACTCGAGCAAACGGATTTATTAATAGAAATTTCACAAGTTAATTTACACAGCAAGAAACTTATATTTCATCTTGGAGTCCCTTTCGGTGATGCGCATTATTATATCGCAGCCTCGACGATGATAATATCGACTTTCTTGTTACACAAGTTGATTTAAACGATATTTTAGAAAGATCACGAGGCAAAGATAGGAGGTGAAGCTACGCGATTTCCTCGTTCGTAACGTTCGAAGAATCCTGGAACACGATCCCTTAATTACTCGGGACAAAGCGTTACCACGCGTAACCCTAAAGGTGTGTATTCATTAATCCTCGTCCTCGTGGCGGGATGAAAGGAAAAAGAAAAAAAAAAAAGAAGCTTCGAAAAAAAGCTTCACAAAAAGGGAAGACGGAATCTCGGGAGACGAAAAGTCAAATTGTAAAAGAGAGAGAGAAAAAAAAAGAAAAGAAAAGAACGAGAGAATTCGAAAGATGCAATTTTCTGGGACTCGCCCACCTGTGTACCAATTACCGAACTAGTGGGACGCGCGTTAAGGGATTGCGACTAATTCGACTCGACATACGTAATTTGAAGCGGTCGATCCGTTTACCGGCGAATGGGACATAATTCGCAGCCGGGTATAGCGCGTCATATAATCGGCATCGCGTATGCATACGCGGATCGAGCACGTGTTGTAGCAAGCCGATTTTTGGATGGTGCAGATAGCGCGTTGCGCGCTTAATTGAATTCCATTGGGATCGATCGAGCAGCGAGATCGTGGAATGGGGGAAGAAAGGGGGAAAGGGGCAGGGTAGCCTTTAATACAAAAATAGAAAGAGAAAGGGGAGAGAGAGAGAGTGAGAGAGAGAGAGAGAGAGAGAGAGAGAGAGAGAATAAGAATAAAGGACAAAGG